CCAACCCGCCAGCCAGTCCCTGGCCTCTCTGGGCCAGTGTCCCCACCTCCTCCCCCCGCTCCCACCCCACCTTCTCTCCCTTGGATCGATTCTCTTGCCTCCCACCTGGCCTCCCGCCTGGGCCCACAATGCAAATTTCTGCTCAGCTTGTTTGCTAGGTTTCCTTGGGTACACAGTGAGGCAGGGTCAAGACTCAGGAGCATGCCCTTCTCACGGCCGCCCCACATTGCCAGGTCTATTTGAAAGTGTGGGGTGGGGCCCTGGGGTTGGGGAGAAAAGCAGAAGCCATTTACACACACACACCCCAGGCCCGGCTGGCCTAAGGCACGTCTCTGCTCTTCCCTCCACTTGAGGGAACAGCGAGAATTAATACACTTGTCTGTGAGGGTCAGAGAGCAGCCAGGAGGCCCGTGTAGCAGGAGGTAGGTGGCTACACGGAGTGTGTGTTACAGTCTCCTTTTTCTGTGCACCTGAGACGTCACCACATCCACCTGAAATAATAACTACAACCTGACATTTGCCCACAGCGGGTCACAGGGCACCATCTTCGCCCACGCGCACCCAGCCTCCTTGCTCCAGGAGCTCATCTTCTCAAGTAAACCAGGGGCTCAGGGGGCCTCTCTAGGGGCAGAGACCTGCCAGGACCTCCTAGGTCCTCCCGGGCCCGAAGCATCTCACCAAGCGAGCTTGGGAGCCTAGGGGTGGGGTGGGCTGGGGGTGAGGGTTCAGCCCTGCCGGGCCCGCAGAGAGTGGGGAAATTTCTGGGCCCTTGGCCTGGGCTTTCCCCTCCCGGCCTGCCTGCTCAGCTCATCGATAGCTGTGGACTCCCCGGGGCCCGGGGGACAGACGAGGGGAGCCTGGCTGCTTACCCTTCACCTCCTGCCACCACTCTCGGGGCCACCGGAGGAGGGGAAGGCGCAGACAAGAATAGGGAGCCCACGGTGTTGCCTATCACTGCCCCGGTCACACATCTCCTCCTGTATGCAAACCCCAGTCCTTTGGGGCCAGATCACCGCCCCTCGTTACAGGTGAGGAAACTGCATCTCAGAGAGGTGCAATCACCCGCCCAAGGTCACACAGCAACTAAGCACAGAGAGCACCTTTGAGCTTCACTGCGCCCCCAGTTATCTCCCCATCTCTGGGTCACAGGCTGCCCGGATTTAAAATAAAAATCATTCTGAGAAGGACGTATCGCATCTGTGGTGTTTCTACCAAAAGTCTATGATCTGAACCAAACCAAGAGGAAACATCAGATAAAGTCAACCCGGGGGCCTTTCTACAAAACAACCAGCCTGGGCTCTTCAAAAATGCCAACCATGAAAGACAAAGAAGAGCTGTGGACCGTTCCAGAATACAGGAGGCCAGAGAGGCTGGACGGCTGCCTGCCATGCGTGGTTTGGAGCCTGAGTCGAGGAGGAAGGCAGGCGTGGCTACCGGGCGATGTTGAGATACTAGTGAAATTTGAACCTGGGCTCTGTGCCCGGTCACGCTCTACCATGTCAAGTGCCCGGACCTGAACTTCTTTATGTCAGAGATGCCCTTGCTGGAGAAGAAACATGCTGATACGTTTGGGGCGAAGGGTCAGAACGTCCGCCACAGACTTGCAAATCGCTCAGCAAAACAGAGTAGTAATACTACTACTAATACTGTGTGTACACACAAAGAAAGGAATAAAGCAATTGTACAAAACCACGGGTAAATAACAGCGCCTCAGGCTGGAGACAGCCCCTTGCTCCAGCCCCTGGACAATAAACCTGCGTAATGCCAGGTGTGCCACCAGGGGGCGCTGCCCTCCTGCTGTCCAGCGGGGCAGTTGTAGCCCATCAGAGCCCCACCAAGGGAGTAGAGGCTGGGGGCTTCGGTTTCCATATGGGGCTTATGGAGGAAGGGACTAGCCCCCCTAAACCTATGGCGGTGCTGGATCCCAGCTCCCCCAGACATTCCCGGAGATATAGGTGGGGTCCAGGTGGGGGCACCACTCAGCCCCATGCCCCCAGCATCCACCCCAGATGCCCCCAGGCTGCTGGGGCTGGCCTTCTCTGGCGGAGACACTGGGGAATTTTTTTGGGCCTGTGATGTCATTGTTTTACAGGCACCGGGAAACGGGGTCAATACAATGCTCGTCATAGAAGTAACAGCAGCGGTTCTTGAACCCACAGCCCTGTGAGACCCTGTTACCATGGAAGCTTATCTCAGGGAGGTGACAGAACTGCCCAAGCGGGGTCAGGTCAGCTGACTCCTGACCACCACACGCCATCAAGCACCTACTGTGCGCCAGAAAGCTGGATGGGCCCAAATGCCCTCCAGGAGCTGTCCTTCCAGTGGGGGAGGCCACCCACCTTCCCAGGGTATTCCCAGCCCATAAGCAGAAAGAGGTGGCATCTGGGGGTCTGACCTTCGCCCTTGCAGCACTTTCTGTGGTCTCGCCAAGCTGGCCCAGTCTCAGGCCTCAGGCACAGCGCTCACCCCCTGCTCCACTCGTTACACTCTCTGCCACCTCTCCCATCTTCCCCGTTGTCCCTCGCAACCCGGGCCCCCCACTCACACGGGCCCTTCACCCACCCCAGCTCTGGCAGAGAGGGCAGCAGCGGCCCTGGGAAGTCTGACCTCCTGAATTTTGAGTTCCCCACCAATTTTCACCGGCCAAGGGCTCAGACCCTGGCTGGCCCATCAGCTCCCGCTGCTCCTGGGGAAGGGGGAGACACAGCGGGACTGGGCTCTGGCCATGGCCTGGGAGGGAAGGGGGGGTTCAGAAAGGGGAGAGTGGGAGGGGGAACCCCGAGGACTGGAAGGGGGGCTTTTGGGTGGGGTTCCCCGGCCGGTTGGAGGCAGAGCGAGGTGTCCGCAGGGTGATGAGCTGTGCAACCAAAGACCTGTGGCTCAACCTTCGTGGCATCAAGATAAAGAAAGAGCGGCCCCAAACCTTCCCATTTCGAGGCCTATTTCAGGTTGGTTTGGTTTTCCCTGCAAAGCCTGGTAAATAGCACCTGCAGAAAGCCCCACCTGGCCCAGCTGCAGGGGCACCGGAGCCGGGCCCACCTGCGGGCCCTGAGAGTCGGGGGGGGGAGTACAATCCAATACCAAATGTCTGGAGGGGCCGGAGCTGGACAGAGCTGGATGTGCACCCCAACTCCACCCCGGGGGACCCCCACCTCTATTACTCAAGGTGAGGTTCCTGGGCCAGCGGCATTGGCCCCCTTGGGAACTTGCTCGAAATGCAGCACCCCAGGCCCCACCTATACCTACTACTATCCCATTTTACAGATGAGGCACAAGAGGTCAGGAAACTTGCCTAAAGTCACACAGCCAGGCAATGTCAGAGCCAGGATTCAGCCTGAGCGCAGGCTCTTACCGTCCAGGCTCTGCATCACTGGGCCTGTAGGTTTAACCTTCAGTTCTGCCCTCAAAGCCACCAGCTCTTCCTCCCCTCCCCACCATCTGGTCCTGACAGTGGCCGTCCAAGGGTCTCCCCGCATCAACCTCAACCCCCATAAGCCACTCACAGTGCAGACGCCAGATGGACCTTCTCAAAACACATATCTGGTCTCTTCCCTTGCACCCCATTGAAGGCACTCAGGTGGCTTCAACTCCACTATGAATAAAGCCCAAGTCCTGACCATGGCCCAGGAGACCCTGTCCC